TCTACAGTCCAGAAAAGCCATCAGTCCCTGTTCCCGGTGCAGCCTCAGGCCTCCCAAGCCCTCAGGCCCAATCCACAGGGCCTGGCTCGCCTTACCTCAGACCTGAAGCCCCGCCTGCTGGCTCTAGAAACAGCCTTACTGCATTCTTCTGGCAGGTGTAGATCTCCTTAGGGGCCTGGAGCGGCTCCAGGGCTGGCTCAACACTAGACCTTCCACCCCAGGAAGATGAGCCCAGGTGCTGTGCAACCAGGGCCCACCAACCCCCATAAGGCTGTCCCAAGGTGCCACTGGGACCCTGTAAACCCCCTTCTCTCAGCCTAGAGACTCAGCCTCTGGAGAGGACACTTCCTTAGAGGCCTTGTAAGGATGGGAAAGATAGGCGGCCAGTGAGAAATGCAAGTTGGTGTCTGTGAGAGGGACTGCCAAGGTGGCAGGAGGTTGCAGGAAGAACGGAGGCAGAGTTCAGGAGCCAGGGTTCTAATCCATGCAGTGCCCTGTGGTAGGAAGAAGCCCTGTTCCTCAGCTCCTTCATTTATCTCTAAAGATCTGGGAAGGGACAAGTCTCCGCACTGTGCTCGCTCCTCAGGTTACTGTGACCCAAGCATCACAAGAGGACAGGTCGGCAATGGCCAGTGACATGGGGTAGCGGGTAGGATGAGGGAATCTCAGGAGGAAAGATGGGGGCACTGGCCACTCAGGTAGCTGAGTAGTAGGTCCCCTTAGTGGGAGAACCCAAAGTCACCACCTAGTCCTCTACCCTGAGCGCCCACAGCCCCTCCTAGCCCAGGGCCCTCCCCCTGGCATCCCATCACAGATCTTTCGACACCTCTCTTCTGCCTCCCAGCTCCACACAATCTCAGATTTGACTCTGATCTGGGCTCTGAACAAGTCCCCTGGTGCCTGGGAAGGCTGGGAGGCAGGTTGCTTACCACTCTCAAGGCCCTGAGCTGCTGACTTCCAGACAGCCTCAGCCAAACAGCCCCAGTGCCCAGACTGCCTGATCCTCCTGTAAGTTAGGCCAGCACTACCTTTCCGGCTCACCCTGACTGTCTCTGCCACTCCCATCCCTAGGCTCCTTTCAGCTCCAGGGCCTCTTCCACCCTGCCTGGCCTCGCAGCCTCTGGCGGCTGCAGAACTTCTTTGGTCCTGAGTACTGTACAGTGGTGTGGAATATTTGTTTAACTAGGAAAAAATGTGTTACATTTGTTTATGCTGCATTGGTTTAACTAAGTAAAGATGTGTTGCATCTGGATTTGCGTTAATTAAATAAAATTGACTTGGACTCAGAGAGGCAGGGTTAGCAACTGGTTGTCAGGAAGTAGCAAAGAGGAGAGAACTAGAGGGAAAGAGAGGGAGGTGCCCGAGGCCAGCCAGCCAGGCAACCACCAGCCAGCTGGACACGGGAGTAGGACATACAGAATGGAAAAAAGGTAAAAAGCCCCGAGGCAAAAAGAAGAAGAAAAACAGGTTAAATTAAGTCGTAAGAGCCAGTGGGAGAAGCATAGGCTAAGGCTGGGCATTCATAACTAATACTAAGTCTCCATGTCTTTATTTGGGAGCTGGTTGGTGGTCCAGGAGAGAAAGTCTGCTACAGGACAGGACTGCTGTTATACCCCACTACGCCTACACAGATCGGTCAAGTGTGCTGTAAGCATCTACCTCTAGAACTACAACCTCCTAAACACGGCAAGGGCTTCCCAGCTAACCCCTGCTTCCCTGAACATGGATTCCATGGGCTAGGAGCTGGATGTGGATCTCCTGAGACCCCAAGTCCTACTAGTATCCCTGTTCTTGATCCATTTCTGATCACTACTGGCCACATGTCTCCAAGGCTCCTCCCCCAGGAAGTCTCCTGTACTGAGCCTGGTACTGTGTGCTCTGAGGAAGCCTGGTCAGTACCAGAGATGCTCCTGGAGGAACTGGAGTCTGCAAAATGGGAGGCCTGAAGCCAAGCTTCCAGTCCTGTGTTTTAAGAGTAAATGGAATCACCCAGCTCCTAGATCAAGCACTAGCTTGCTGTGGAAAAATTCTCTTGTATACTGTAAAGATTTGTCACTCAAATTGGTTTAATAAAACTCTGGCCACTAGCCAGACAGGAAGTATAGAGTGGGGTGACCAACCTAAGGATGATGGGAAGGAGAAGGGCAGAGTTAAAGGTCACCAGCCAAATGCAGAGGGACAAAATGAACATGCCATGTTAATAAAGGTGCCACCAGGTGGCAGAGCATAAATAAGGAATGTGGGTTAACTTAAAATGTAAGAGTTAGTTGGTAACAAGCCTGAGATATTGACCGAGCATTTATAATTTACATTCAACCTCTAAGTCAGTTATTTGGGACCAGGAAGTCAGGACATGGAAAACCTCACCTACAAATGGTGCCCACTGTCCAGCATAGATCCACATAAAAGCTGAAAAAGCTTTAAAAAGGTTCTAAACACACAAAAATGGAGCCATTTTGACTTAAATTTTGAAGTCAAGATATTTTTAAAATATATAGGTTGGTTGAATCTAGCAGACTTAGATTCCTAGTCTCATGTCTCTCATGCCAGCCACAGAACGGAGACACATCTCCTGGTGGCTGCCATGAGCTAAGCTGTATGGTGGGTCCCTGCAGTCTCTCACATGTGCAGAGGTACAGCAAGGCATCTTTCAGCTGCTGCCTGCAGGTTTAGGCTCCCAGCACAAGCTCCACCAGCAAGCTGTATGGTGGGTTTGGGGTTTTTGCTCATGTAAGACAGAAAAAGTTACTGATAGCAGTAAAGACAGATTCATATGGAAAAAAGCCTCTAAACAGGCTACATTGTATTTAAAAATACACAGGCTTGGGAGAGAAAAGAAAAAGGGTAGAGAAAGTCCTTACAAAATAGTGTAATAAAAAATATAAGCCATATATAGAGGGAAAATACACAGAGAGTCTGAATCCTTTATGTTATTGTGTTGTCTTTGAATTTTTTTGGCTTCTAAGAGACACCGGATTATGAAAACTGCTAGAATCAACCAACCTATATATTTTAAAAATATCTTGACTTCAAAATTGAAGTCAAAAGATATGCTAATTTGGGGAAAGGTTATGCTTTTATTCCCACAGGAAATGAGAGGGTGTGGATTCATTCCAGGTTAAGAAAAATCAGGTCAAGCCAGGTGGTGGTGGCGCACACCTTTAATCCCAGCACTTGGGAGGCAGAGGTAGGAGGATGGATCTCTGTGAGTTTGAGGCCAGCCTGGTCTCCAAAGCGAGTTCCAGGAAAGGCGCAGAGCTACACAAAGAAACCCTGTCTCAAAACAAACAAACAAACAAAATGTAATGTATAATTAAGAAATACATGGGCTGGAGAGATGGCTCAGAGGTTAAGAACACTGACTGCTCTTCCAGAGGTCCTGAGTTCAATTCCTAGCAACCACATGGTGGCTCACAACCATCTGTAATGAGATATGGCGCCCTCTTCTGGCCTGCAGACATACATGCAGACAGAACATTGTATACATAATAAATAAATAAATCTTTAAAAAAAAAAAAAAAAAATTAAGAAATACAGATTAACAACCATCTATAATAGTCAAACTCATATTCATGTAAGGTTTTCTTGTATACAGAGATGTATTTCAGATAGATAGGTAATCTTCAAATACTTCAAAGACCTACTGAACATGGAATTTAAAAAGTTTTTTTTCTTTTTCTTTTTTTTTTCTTGAGACAGGGTTTCTCTGTGTAGCTTTGTGCCTTTCCTGGGACTCACTTGGTAGTCCAGGCTGGCCTCGAACTCAGAGATCCACCTGGCTCTGCCTCCTGAGTGCTGGGATTAAAGGCGTGCGCCACCACCGCCCTGCTGGGATTTAAGTTTTAATAACTTAGACTTTTCATGACAGTGAGACACGTCTGCTCCTGGTAGTACCAATGTACTCCAGAGAAGATGATGGGAATCAAAGAAATTCCATATGGAGTTTGTTTTCTTTATGGCAAAAGCTAGCCACATGGACAAAGAAACTGCCCTTGCCTCAATTGCTGATAGTTACTGTCCAAACTGAACCAGTAGGACACACAAAAAAGTGAATGCTGAACTTTGCCAAGACATGGTAGGACAGTCCTTCAAAATTCCCTGCTTCACAGGAAAGTCTGTCAGATATGCCAGGCCTGTAGGTCAAAGATGGATGCCTCATCATCGAAGAGAAACTTTGAGTTACTGTCCAGGCAACCTAATGCCCCTGTCATTAGCAAACATTTCATCCTTCTGGAGTCTTTGATGAAGTTGAAGACTAGATAGTCATAGTAATAATTTTCCTTAGTTATAATAAAAGGGTAAATTAGATATAAAACTTTGGACTCAGCAAGATGGGATGTATAATTAAATGTTTTCTCCTATTTTATCAAATACAAATAGACTGGATATTGTAACTGTAATCCTTACTTGATAAGTATTAATCTAACTATGTTAAAGTTAAAACCTTTTTTAATTAGACAAAAAGGGGGAAATGCTGTGGAATGATCCTCTTGTATACTGTAAAGATTTGTCACTCAAATTGGTTTAACAAAACACTGATTGGCCATTAGCCAGGCAGGAAGTATAGGTGGGGTAACCAAAATAAGAATGTTGGGAAGAAGGGCAGGGTCAGGGGGTCACTAGCCAGATGCAGAGGGAGAGGGGATGAACATGCCATGTTAATAAAGGTACCACCAGGTGGCAGAGCATAAATAAGGAATGTTGGTTAACTTAAAATGTAAGAGATAGCTAGTAACAAGTCTGATCTATCAACTGAGCATTTGGAATTTATGTTCAGCCTCTGAGTTGGTTATTTGGGACCTGAAGGTTGGGGCATGGAAACAACCATCGACACCAGCTATCTCAGGATGCACCAAGCAAAGCCAATTCTGGCTTCCTCTCAGCTTCCAGGTACCTGCCCTGGCTGTCCTCTACTTTCTCCCACACACCCCTCCATTGACCTTGGCTGCAACTATAACTACACCATGAGCAAGGGCAAAGCACACAATTCCATGCCAGAGGCAGACACAAATCAAGACTGTTTATTGCAGAAATATGATCAACATTCCATTTAAGTGGCCCCAGGTGAGAAGGTGCTGGGCCTCTCAGCCTAGAGCTGAGCAGGGAAGATGGGAAGGACAGAGGACCTTCTTCATCTGGTCAGGGCCTCAGAGTTGTGAGAGGATGTTGGGGGCCAGGCTGCAGGTGAGGCCTGTGCCATCCGGCTCTACATTCAGTGCCTTCACTATGCCATTGTCTACCACCATGGAGAACCTGCAGAAAAGAGGTACAGCTGCAGAAGCCGAGCCAGCCGCCTGGGCCCCTAGTGCCCGTGGGGAATGCCCCCACTTTACCTCTTCAGCCGGCGATTCCCAAAGAGAGACACCAAAGAATCATCCAGTAATAAACCTGTCTCCTAGAAGACAGGCAGAGACGGGTGTCGAGAGCCCCCAAACAGGTCAGGGGCTGCTCCACACATAACGGGTCCCTCCAGGACCAACTGCAGGCTGAGGGAAGGGTGATACACTCACCTTCCCAAAGGCCCCAGTGGGGTCAGCCAGGAGCCGAACCTGAGGGAGAGAGTAATGTCAAAAGGAAACCTCCAGTGCTAGTAAGATGGCTCAGTGAATACAGGCACTTGTTACCAAGCCTGAGGACCTGAGTTCAATCCCCAAGACCCCACATGGCAGGAGAGAACCAAGTCTCATAGGTTATCCTCTGACCTTCACTTAAGTACCATGGCATGAGTGCCCAACCCACACATAAAATAAGTAAATAAAATGTAATGAAAAACAAGGAAACCTCCTACCTGGGCCTGACCCCTTACAGACCCCACACCTCACCTTGCCTTCCGCCTGGTGGGCTCGACCCCACTCTTGAGTCACAAAGACGTCATTAACACTCAGACATGCCAACACCTGCACTCCCTTGGCCTTCAGAGCCCCAGCTTGCTCCACGAACCCAGGCAGGTGGGTCTAAGAGGAAAACACAGGGTCAAAACAAAGACAGCTGCTGGTGTTCCTGAGCTGGCTCTTTAGCTTCCCATGCTCTAAAACCTCTGATCAGGTTAAGGAAAGCAGTGTGAAACATGCCATTTACTGTTCACTTTGGCTGCTCGGGAGGGTTGAACCTGAATATCTGTGGTCAAGAACATGAAATTCCCATGGGCAAAACTCTTGTCTCATTAGCACAAGCCCCAAGTAATTTTTCAGTTCTTCGGTGAGCGGGATCAATCAGAGGTGTTAGATTTAACCCGAGTCCTTTTCTCCCACACTCCTGATTCTGGAAAGAAGCCTCACCTTAGAACAGCCAGGCGTGAAAGCCCCAGGCACTCCAAACAGGACTCCTTTCTTGCCCTTGAACAGGTCTGCCAGGTTCACCTTCTTCCCAGGCTCCCCTTCAAACACCTCCACCGAGGGGATGCCATCTCCCACCTGGAGACAAGGACTCCAGGATAAAAGGGGGTAAAGAACGGCCCAGTAAGCCACATCCAAGCAGACACAGATCTTGATGGAGCCGGGGCTGACACCCAGCAGAGAAAATGCCGCCTGTCTGTTTCCAGGGGTCAATCTCTGTTCTCTGTACCTCCCAGTTGCCCCACATCTTACGAGCATCAAGGAAGCCTGGTTTGCTTAAGCCTGGCAACAGAGAAAGGGAGAAGCCTCCCCAAGTGTCGCAACGCTGTGTCAACAAGCCACCCAGGATGGATCAACGCACAAGAGGGGGACAGAGGGCTGTGCTTGGGGTTGAGAAAGCGCCCGGCAACAGGAGGGAGGACATCCTGTCCACACAACGGAAAGCCAGGGAAGATGCCCAAGTCAAAGGCTCTCAGGGTAGGTGGGGGTGTCCACCTACCTGGAGGCTTCCTGAAGCCACAGGAGGGAACAAAAGGGAGGGAGGCTGGGGTCAGCAGGTAAAGGTGTTTGCCACCAAGCCCAACTCCCCATAACCAGACAGGACTGACTCCTGAGAAAGTTGTCCTCTGACCTCCACATGCACATGTGTGTTCCCAAATACACACATTAAATACATATTAAAAAGTGGTTTTCGAAAAAAGAAAGGGCCTTTAATCCCAGCACTCAGGAGGCAGAGGCAGGTGGATCTCTGTGAGTTCCAGGCCAGCCTGGTCTATGGAGCGAGATCCAGGACAGGCACCAAAACTGCACAGAGAAACCCTGTCGCGGAAAAAAGAAAAAAAAAAAAAAAAAAGGGATCAAGTCCAAGAACCTTCCAGAAAGGCCAAACAGAAGCAGCGGGGGAAGCATTCACAGAGGGAAGACAGCAATGGGGGGGAACAACCCGGTCTCCAAGAGACCACCTCTCTTTCAAAAGATGCGGCGAAGCGGCATCCAGCCCTATCACAAATGGGGCTCTGGAGAGGGGTGTAAGAGGTTTGAAAAGCGGCCACGCAGCGAGGGAGATATTTCCAGAATGTGGAAAATGACAAAGCATCTGTCGCCTGACAATGGTGGGGACCTGTCCCTGGACGTCGCAGTTAATATGAGACAAAGAGGGTCAAGGAATGTCCCGCGACGGAGGGGCAACGAGGGGGTCTTACAGAAAGCGTCAAGGAGGACAGCCCGAGACCCCGCGAGCAGTCCAAAATGCCGCAACAGGGTGGATGCAGGAGAATTAGGACCGGTCACCTTGATCGGGGCCATAGCCACTGCGGCGCTGCTGAAGCTGCGGGCCCCGCTAGGCTCCCACCCTGCTGCTTCCCGGCTTGCTCGGCCTGCCTCGCACGTCCAGGTAGCAGCTGAACGGAGCACCGAACCGGCTGCGCCGCCCAGGACGCGTATCCTTGGGAGTAGCATGTCGGGCCCGTCGCCGCAGCCCCCCGCCCGCCGCTAGGTCGGCCCACCAGAGGCGGGTGCCGAGTCCGCTCCGCCCACGCCAGCTCGCCGCACCTACCACGCGGGTTTATAGAGACTAAGCCGTGACGCATTATGACGCGGTGGGGCTTGCAGGGGTCGGGCGCCTCATTTGCATGCAGAGAGAGGCGCCCGATTTACCGATGCAACACTTTCTGACCCTGAACCGCAAACAGGGGGTTGGGGTACAATCTGGCTAGGCCCCGAATGTGCTTCACACTCAACGAGAGCCCCGCAGTGCACTTACTTTGCATTGTACATGCGATTTACAGCGAGCGGGGCACGGCGTACGCCGTTGCACTGTCCCTGAGAAACGCTTCCGGTACCAGGACTTGACCCACCCCTTCGCTGCCGCAAAACCCCAGAAGTTCCAGCAACTTCACCACTTCCGGTCCGGGGGTGAGGAGGGGAGGGCCCAACGGCTTCAACAGCGGAAGTGGCATGAGAAGTGTGGATTCCTTCCGCTTCCGGCCGCGCGAGCTCCAGTGTGGCAACATGAAACTGCTCACCCACAATCTCCTGAGCTCGCATGTGCGCGGCGTGGGCACGCGTGGCTTCCCGCTGAGGCTGCAGGTATTTGCATGAGCGTCTGTCGCCCTTGTAGCTCAGGATAGGGACACCGGGCCCGACCCCACCTCGCTAAACCTTTCCTCCCCGCAGGCCACCGAGGTCCGCATCAACCCCGTGGAGTTCAACCCCGACTTCGTGGCGCGGATGATCCCTAAAGTGGAGTGGGCGGCGCTTGTGCAGGCGGCGGACACGGTGAGAACCCCGCCCTCCCCCCCCCCCGTCACCCCGGGGGCGGGCTCGGGCTCTCGGCCCTGCCAGGGCCCAGTGGAGTCCGTGGTATGCCCGGTGACCACATGTCTCTTTCCCGCAGTTAAACCTGGAAGAGGTACCCAAAGAGCCGACTCAAGGCTATGAGCACGACGAGACGTTTTTGAGGAAGATGCACCACGTGTTGCTTGAGGTGAGAACCCTGTCACTTGCCTATTAACCCTGTCACTTGCCTGTCGCTCCTACACAGAGGCTCGGGTGCTCAGCTTGGTCTTGCTCCCCCTCCCCACAGGTGGACGTGCTCGAAGGCACCCTCCAGTGCCCAGAATCGGGCCGTCTTTTCCCCATCAGCCGTGGGATCCCCAATATGCTGCTGAATGACGAGGAGACGGAAACGTGAACTTGCTAGCCACCGCTCTGACGTTTTGTGAAGTGTGTATCATTTGTATAGTCTGTTAACTATATATGTCATGTATGACCCCCATCTCCCCCCAGTGACTCACCGACCACCATGTACTTGAGCTCCATAGTATATTTTTTTTTTCTCATTAAAGGTTCAAAACCAAAAGCGGTTTCTCTTTGCAGCAAATATACATTAAAATAGAGTCTCTGTACAGCCAAGGGCTCTGGGCCCCGGCTTGCCCCACGGCCCTGCGCCTCCCTGGCCAAACCCAAAAATAAATATAGTGTTATTGCTCTGCAGGGCATAGAGGCAGTGCTGTCCCCCACCCCTTGAGGTGGGAGCTGATGGGGGGCCCGGGCCACCCCAGGGGTCCAGGGGCTGGAGCCTGCTTGGAGTTATTGCTTCGAGGGGGGGCACTAATGCCCAATGCGAATGGGAGGAGCGAAGGGGCCAGGGCCTTTGCTTTCCAAGCCCTCCTCTGCTCTGGAGAGGGGGTCGATTAAGCAGCAGCAAAAGCATCGCCCACTGGGAGACTGTGGCCTTTCTCCATCCCCTTCCCTCCCTGAGATCAGTTTCTGCCTCCCACATCCCCTGCAGCCCCCTATGGCTTCCGCAAGGCCCCCCACACTCTTGGGGGCACATTATGGCTTGCAAGGGGCAGCACTGTGCCCACACCTGGGCATTCACTTTCCTGGCTCCTGACACCCCCCAGAGGGGGGAGGGGAGGGCATGAAGCCTGCTCCCAGGGGCGGATGGCATTGCCCTGGCCCTGCCAGCAGGCTGTGGCACTGCCCAGACTCCAGCTTTGCCCCCTTGGGGCTAACACCCCATGCTGGGCAGATCCTGCCAGCCACCCCACCCTGTCCCACCCCTTGCCTCAGTCCATCATGGCCTCAAGCATTTCCAAAAACAGCTTGTGCATGGGCACCTTGCCCTCCAGCTTCACCCCATAAAAATGGGCCAGGACTTTGCCTGCTGTCTGGCGGAGGAGCGGCAGTGTGAGCAGCAGCCTGCCCGCTCGCCTCCGCTCAGCACCCCCTCCAGGGCCAGCCCGGCCAGCTTCATACTCCAGCAGGGCCTCGTGCAGGGCTTCACGTAGCTGCTCCACAGCCTCAGCATCTTCAATGTGCACAGAGTCTGAGGAGGGGAGAGAAACATTGGCAGAGGTGACAGGCTTCACATCTGTTTGGATACTGCTGGATAGGGGATAACACACTCACTGCTCTGCCTGTGCGCCAGGACCCATCCTTTCTCACCTGTGGCCACCTCTTGTCCGCCACACCTTCCCTTTCACTATCTCCTGGTCAGCACAGCACTAGGGCTCAGAATCCTGTGTACAATTCAGGACCTTGGCTTACTTGGTGATTTTCAGTGATCAAGCCTCAGTTGTCCTAATCTATAATTAGGGACCGTGCCACCACCGTTGACAACTGGAGGGCCTTTTGGGGGGACCCGTGTGCCTTCCCTGGACACTCACCAGAATTGGCAAGGGCCAGAGCCTTCAGCAGTACGTACTCCTCCCGCTCCAGCCGTAGGGCTTGCAGTCGCCGTACCAGCTGCAGCAAGGCTGCCCCCAGATCCCCCAGACCAGCTGCCCGGGCCCCCTCTTCATCCAGGACCAGGTCCTCGGCAAATGCCAGCTCATCCTGCAGCGGCAGTGAGCGCTGGGCCACACCCAGCACCAGCACCTCCATCCACACACTCTGCAGTACTGACATCTGGTCAGACAGTGACAGTGAGGAGAAGCCTGGAGGAAAACCAGGAAAGGACAGGTCAACAGTGCAGCAGGGCCAAACGTGGCCTACCTGTTCAGAGACGCCCTGACCACAAGCCCTTTACCTGGGATGCTCTTGGCCCAGCTGATGGTGACCACTATCTCTCGATCGAAAAGGTCGCAGAGAGTCGCCACGGCAGGGAGTTGTCCGTCAGGGCTTGCTGGGTCAGGCATGGCATACAGCTTCTCAGGCTCAACCACCAGCAGATGAGACACCAGTGCGTTCACTGGGGCTACAGTGACAGGACTAGAGTCATGAAAACAGATCTGGCAGACCTCTGAAGCCCCCCAGAGCCAAGTGTCTTCACAGACATTCCCCTCTGGCCTTCCTTGAAAGCCACTGGTAAGCCTGAAGACACAGTGCTCACTTCCTCAGAGAAAGGTTGTGTGCACCAGAAAACCTTTCCCTGGGGCATGGGCGTAGCTTGCACACAGCCCCAGTCTAGTCTAGCATTTAGTAGGCTCAGGTTCCTCCAACAACCCAAAAAAAAGACAAAAGCAACCCCTGTGCTGATTCATTTTTGTCAACTTGACACATGTCTGGGAAGGACTCTTAACTGAGAAAATGCCTCCGTAAGATGGGCCCATAGGCAAGTCTGTAGGGCATCTTGACTGATGATTGATGTGGAAGAGTCCTATCTACTGAGGGTGGTGTCATTCCGGGCAGGTGGGCCCCAGTTGTGTAACAAAGCAGGCTGAGCAAGCCAAGAGGATTAAGGCAGTAAGCAGGGTTCTTCCATGGCCTCTGTATCAGCTCCTGCCTTGAGTTCCTGCCCTTATTTCTCTCAGTGATGGAGTGTGACCTCAGAGTTATAAACTGAAATAAACCCTTTCCTCTCCAAGTTGCTTTTGGTCATGGTGCTTTGCCACTGCAATAGAAACCCTTCTACTTGGGAATCTGACCTGAAGTAGTTGATTGTTCTTGAATGACTTTGTAATCACCCATGATTATAAATCCTGGTCTGCCTCCTGAGCACTGGGATTAAAGTGTGCATGTGGTGTGCGCTGTGCTCAGAATCAAACCCAGGACTTCATGCATGCTAGACAAGCACTCTACTGCCTGAGCTACATCCTTGGCCTGTGGAGATATTTTTATTCTCATTATTTCTTGGGGGGGGGGGGAATAAGAGAAGGTAAGACCTGGGTCCCAGGGCATGTAAGGAAACCAAACAGACTTCTCCAGTGGCTGGCCCACCAACACCCCAAAGCTTAGGAACCCAGGATCTCACCTGTCTTCCGGGGGCCTCCAGCTGCTGCCAGAGGACCAGCAGGGAAGGGGCCTGGGAAAGGCAATGGGTCCACCTCTGGCCGCCGCTTGTACTTCTGTCGCCCACCTCGGACACGGTCCAGACGCACACCTTGAATTGTAAGACCAGACTGTGTCCATAAAACACCTGCCCCACAGAGCCCCACCCCCACCTTCTCCCCAGGCTTCCACCCAACCCACTGGACCACCTCCACCTCACTCAGGCACTGCCCAGCGCTCACCCTCCTTGAGCATGCCCACCCGCAGGCACTTGGTGAATCGGCAAGCCTGACAGGCCTTGCGTCTCCGCTTGGTGATCTCACACTCATTGGAGGCCGGACAGCTGTACTCGATGCTCCCTGCCAGGAAGAGGCAGGGCTCCAGTGGCGGCCTCCCAGAGCCCGGAGGGGGCCCAGATGACAGGAGAGCCCTGACTCACCCTGGGCAAACACCAGTCTGGGGGTATGGGGAGGAAAGGGAGAGCAGGATGCCATGAGCAGGGCAGGGAGGGAGACAGCCACTGGGCTGGGGGAACCCTGCTTGCATGAGGCCAGGCCCTGGAGGTCAAGCTGCGTATTTGTCCTAAAACCATACTACTGGGTTACGATGTCCTCACCTGCTGTCAAGGGCCACAGCAACCTCCAGGCTAAATCCAAGGCTCCATTGAGTCCTGAGCTCCCTTGCCTAAAGCATTGCCTTCGGCTCCTAGAAACCCTTCAATGCTGTCTTCCTTTGCTTCTGGGACAGGCTCTCCTGGTCCTCCTCCCCTCTGGCAACTCTATGGTTTCTGTATAGTGACCTAATGCAGTCCCCAGG